CTCCAACTAAGACCCCACAGTAATTGCTTAATAATCAAACCACAAAAACCAGGAAGAGTAAAAAGGCTCTCTGAGAAAAAAATATGAAATCCTGAAACCTTCTCCCCCTTTGGAAGAATTCTAAATCTTTTCCTTGAAGTTCCTGCTCCTTTCAAACTTCTCAGTATCAGCATTAAGCCTAACTTACAAATTCCACTTCAGATATAGTTCTACCGTGCATTCTTTAAATGATAGGATTTGTTCTTCTAATCATAGTGTGTGGAGAGCTAAGGCACCTTCATTCAGTAATCCACTGTGATCAGAATGGAAATTGAACTTCTGCCTGTCTCCCAGGCAGCTGAGGAAACAAAAAATGGCATCAGTGAAAGTATCTGCCTAGAACATTTACTTTGTGCACCTAACAAAATACTATAATATATTCATATTAACCAGCTAGTGATATCCTTTGTGCATTTATTAAGAACAAGTCATTTAAAATTGGGCATATTCACAGAAGTAGAATAGGAAAATAGGGATTTTCTTGCTTTCTTTATTTTCAGAATTCGTAGAAATATTCTTATAATTCAGTAGATGCAAAATTGATGCAGACCACATATAACATGATTCCTATAATTCTAAATAAACCCCAAGGTTTCTCTCAGGATTTTCCTAAGGAGTACTTTCTTGATTGAGTCAAGAACTTCCATTAAGATTTATTTAAAGACCCAAACAACTTAATCCAGACTCTTCTTTCTAACATACCTGTCCCAACTTTGTTTTGTTCTGGGCATTACAGTTTGAGAAAGATTCCTACAACCAAACAGATGAATAAGAAGTTAATAATGATAATCAAGGGGGTTGAATTTAAAGATCTGAAAACATTTCATCTTGAGAAAAGATGATAAAAGAGGGGACATGTCATTTAAGTATCATAGTGTAAGTGCTACAATATAAAGTACATACAATACTCCTATTTTGACTTGGAGCATCTTAGAGCCTTCTTTTAATTAAAAAAAATTAAAAGATTTAATTACAATAGTAAAATAATACAAACTGAAAAGAAAAGAAAAAAATAGAAAAAAAAATGAAAAAAGAGGAAGAAAATAGAAAAAGAAGAAAACCCTAAAAAAGCAATTTCCTATCTGCATTTTGACAAGTATAAGAAATCTCACTATTTCTTCAGTTAGTGAACAAATATAAAACTTTTCATCTCATAACTCAACACTTAACTATAGGAAAACCCAATAAGTAGCATCTTCTCCAAACCAAGGGTCATCAAAAAGTTGATATGGGGCTCTGAAATAATATCATTAATTAAACATGTAAGCCTGATTTCTTCATATCTCAACTCTTAACTGTAAACAAATCCACATTTAGAAGAAACAATAAAGTGGTCCCAGTATCCTAGTACGAACAAAAGATGAAAATTGACCTAACCAAGTAGTGACATTTTTTCCTTTAAAGAAAACATCCCTTGCTTTAAATGAAAGAACAATAAAATTCAAGGCCAAATAATTAAGTGACCCACATTTTTATTTGGCAGATGTAGCAACATTTACTTGTGCTAACATGAAAGATCATTCGAAGCATTTTGTGTAGTGATATTTTGATTTTACAGTATATATGGATAAATAGATAATGTTATGCAATGTTAAGAGAATCAGTTTTAGTATAGTGGTTAAGACATCATACTAAAAACCAGGAGACTGAGTTCTACTCAGGGTGAAATCTACTTATCTTTGCTATCGGTTCGCAAATGTGAGAGTGCTTCTGCGCATGCACAGTGTCAAAAATGGACATGTTGATGTCTGGGAGGGTGGGCAGATCCTGCTACTGAGCGTGCCAGGAGAGTAGAACAGCGAGAGGGGGAGGAATCCGCTGTGCCACGCGATTAGCTAGAAAGCAGGATTTCCTGCTTTCTAGATGATCTAAATCACACTGCATAGCTGATCGTCAGAAATACCAGTTCACCTGAACTGGTAGTATTTTTTTTACTACCTGTTCGGGTAAACCAGTACCTTTTTTTACTACCAGTTTGGGTGAACCTGTCTGAACTGATATCATTTCACTCCTGATTCTACTCTCACCTTAAGGATAAAGCTGCTAAGTGACCTTGGACCAGTCACACTCTTTCAGTCCTAGGAAAGAGGCAACAGCAAATCATTTATGAAAAACCTTGCCAAGTAAACTTCAGGGAGTTGCCAGGAGTTAACACTGACTCAAAGGCACCTTCCTCCCCAAATCTTATGAAATGAACACTTTTACAATAAGATCATTCAGGAGAGCAACAGTGCTGTGGTGCTTTGTTTCTCTATTTTTTCCTCCTTCTTCTAGGCTGTTGAATGACTGACTAATATGGATTCTTTTTTAGAAAACCTCTTACTGGCTATAACAATAACAGATACATTTCAAAGAAACTGCATAGAGTTAGAAGAGTACCGTTGTCTTATCCTCATGTTTCATAATAAAATCACTAAGTATTGCTATATCTATGTCTCTGAAAAATTGCCCATTCAGGCTTTTCAGGCATGTGTATATAGAACAGGGGTGTCAAACCCACAGCACGTGGGCCAGATGTGCCACGTGCTGGCCACGCCCATGCCCAGTTTAGCAAAAGGGGGAAAGTCAGTATACGTCACGTGACGACTCCATAACAACACAAGTTTGACACCCCTGATACAGAATGTCAATAGTCACATACAGCCAGTGTATATCACAGTAGTCCTCAATTTATAAGTGTTTGAAGTTCTGATGGACCTACCTGGGGGGTACTTAGGACTCAAGGTCAAAGTTCCGACATCATCTTCCTCCTCACAGTCACATGACTGAACTTTGGGTGCTTGGCAACTGCACCAAAGACACATGACCATATTTTTGGAAGGTTTTGCTAAAAAAGAACAGTTATTTCAGATTTCTGGCAAACCCACACCAATAGCAAATCAATGATTTGCTTAACAACCACTGTGTTCACTGCAAAAATGGTCTTAAAATCTATTTATGACCATCACAATGATTGTGATGGGCACAGGCTTCATTACGACTTAATTGAGTACTATCTGCATGTCACTTGTAACATCATGTTTTCCTCTAGGACTAGTGAATAGGAAGTCCATGCTTTGTTGTTGATTCAAGAGGTGATAAAAACCAAAGAGAAGCTGTGGTAGATAGGGCTTCATTATGCAAATTTTTTCCTCCTCTGTGTTTGGAGATGGCAGAACTTCTATCTAATGGGAGCAAAATGAAAATGGGTGCAATTTATTGGAATTCTGGATCTAGCTCATTACATTTCCCATCATCCCTTTTAAGATACTTTATGGTTCAGCTTGAAGATGATGTATACATTTCATATCATAGCATCACAAATTAGTATTCAACTAGCAAAGATAGAAATATGATTATTTATGGGGGTGGGATGACTCAGCAGTTAAAGATGCTCAGCTTCTCAGTTGGAAAGCTGACAGATCAGATTCGGCACCCAAGCACTGTGTGACAGAGTGAGTTTCCCGTTCCTTGCTGCAGCTCCTGCCCATCTATCAGCTTGAAAGCATGCAAATACAAGTAGATGAATAGGTACCACTTTTGTGGGATGGTAACAGCATTCCCTGTGCATCAGCATATTGTCATGTTGGCCACCTGATCATGGAAATGTCTTTGGACAATGCTGGCTCCCTTGGCTAAGAAATGGAGATGAGCACTGTCCACTAGACTTATATACAACCAGGCAAGGGAAATCTTTGATTTTATGATTATTTCATAAAACCTTGCGGTAGTCCTGGATTTATTGTGCCAGAGGCCTGAAGATATGAGAAACCTTAGGAAGGTTAAGGGAAGCTTTCTAGCAGAGTGCCTGTTTAAACCAGTTTCACATCTTCCTATAGAAGACAAGCCGCTGTGATCACCTAGATCACCTTCCATTTAATGAACTAACACCGAATTAGTTCTGTATATTTGGATTGTGTGTTTTTGTACCAAAAAAAGGTTATATATGAAAATTTCAACTGGGTACCAACATCAAATTTCGCAAAGTGGGAGTGGCGATAAGGTGCTGTCTTTTAATTTGGGATTATCATCAAGCAGAATATTTAAGTGAGGTTTATTTCCATTTCATTCCTTTCTTCAGGGAAAGAATGGCCAATGATATTACAGGTAGTCTTCAACTTATGACCACAATTGACCCCCAAATGCATGTTGTTAAGTGAGAAATATGTTCAGTGCGTTTTGCCCCATTTTATGACTTTTCTTGTCACATTTGTTAAGTGAATCACTGCAGTTCTTAAATTAATAACACGTCTGTTAAGTGAATCTGGTTTCCATATTGACTTTGCTTGTCAGAAGGTCGTACAAGGGGATCACATGACTCTGGGGCACCACAACCATCATAAATGTGAGTCGGTTGTCAAGCATCCAAATGTAAACCATGTGACCATGGGGATGCTGCAATGGTCATAAGGGTGAAAAATGGTCCCAAATCATTTTTTTCAGTGCCATTGTAACTTTGAACGGTCACTAAATGAACTGTTGTAAGTCAAGGACTATCTCTATTGCACCATTGCAATCTCCTTTTGTATATTCATGTGAAAGTGGCAGCAGTATGATGATTCTTTTATCATTTTGATGTCCATGTTGGCATTATTTTTATAGTTGCATAATTATCTGTTCTCCAGTCTCTAGATTTAAATTTAAACCTGTCATTTATTTGAGTGATAATCCATATATTTCCTCTGCCATCACCATGTGTTGTTATAGCAATAATGTTAACCTCTCTATCTGAATTCATTTCATTAAACATGACTATTAAAATTTTATATGCTATCATATTTGATCTGCACAAATACTTTATGTTATAATCAAATGTTTAATAGAGTGCTTAGGATTTATGGGAAGAAATTCCGACAGATTTGCAAAGAAAAAAAGCATGGAATATGTCAAATATAAATTGTTTTCTGCATACAGCATAGCTACATCTTAATCTTTGAGACTGCATTATGTGACAATTAATCACACTGTTTTCTTATTTACAGCAAATCTTGCTGGCAAATCACAGGTATGAAACATTTGAATACTTTTTAAATAGGTTTTGATGGGACAGGCATTTTTTTTTCACTTTTTCTCAGGGCAAACACACAGTCATTTTTCCTAATGGCTCCCAAGAGATGACCTAATTAATTTACGAGCCTCGAGACAAAATTCAAACAAAAAACATTCATTTATTAGGATCAACATCTTGGCTTGATCTTCTGTGGAGCCTAAACTGAATCCCACTTAATGGCATCTGAACTTTACCCCTGTGTCTCCTCCCCTCTGCCTGAAGTCATCAATCACATTCACCAACAAGATGTTACAGGTTCTGGACATGCGCATTCACATCCCAGTCACAAGAATATGAGACTTTACTCTAGCCAAAGTATGCATAGAATTCTCCTCCCTTCTCAAGTTGATAGTAGTCATGGAAACGTTTTAGACGTTGACAATGGCCTTGTCCCCTGCAGAGTATGAGATGAGCAGGATTTTGTGTATTTGAAGGGTTACTTGGCTGAAAACTTGCAGCATGTAGGAATGAAGTGACCTGATCCCATTGTATTATTTTATCACATTATTTTACTTGTACAGAAAACCACACCAAATCTACTTTCATGCTATTTCAGAGATGGTGAAAAGGAAACACTGTTTTAATTTTCTTAGATTCGTATCGGGGAAAAAAATTAAATACAGAGAGACACACCCTACCCACAAACAATTGTATTAACACTTCAAGGATAGTAATACTGCCATACTTTATCAACAAAATCCTTCATTTGTGGTATAATTGAAAGAAATGTGTTGTAAATAGCCCCAAAATTATCTGTTGAGATTTTACACCCCCCTCAGAAATTCTTTCTGGGTATATTTTTTCTTCTTCTAAACTTGAACTTGAGTGCACATTTCACCACAGAAATGTGCCCTGGACCAGCTGCAAGGAAATCATTTTACCACTGAGATGCCTGTAAGGTTGCTGCTCACTCATCTTGCCATCCCTCGGGACCAAGGCTTATGTATCTCCCTTTTGACCTGAAGATTGGGTGCCTTGTTGTTGGCTTTTACACAGGTGTTCAAGGGACTTGTAAAAAATGGTTGGGGGGTAGGGAGAACAAATGTTTGATTGTAATATTTCACATGTAACCTTTGTTTTAGGTATTTATCAGGAACGGCATTATCAGTTAATAATAAAGTGATAACATTGGAAAGTTGCTACTTTATTATTAACAGATAACCCCCGATCATATTAATACTGTACAATTCTGTAACAGGACAAGAATCTCTTGCTATGCTTTTGTCAAGATGCCAAGGCAGAAGTGCACAGACATAATCAATAGGGGGAAAAATCTATTATCTGAAGCTATTTCATCCATTGCTCTGCAGGGTAGGATATCCTGTGCATATGTTTAAGCTTGTTCATCTTGATTCAACCCAGAGGAGTTGCTGCATCATACTTGCCAATGTGGTGTAGTAGTAAGGTGTCTTGGACTTTGACAAGGGAACCCAGATTTTAGTCAACCTACAGAAACTTCAGAGCTACTTTGGACCAATCATACTTTCTACCAACCTATAGGGTTATTATGGAGAAAAATAGGAGAATGAAGCTTTGGCTATGTTGCTTTGAACTTGGCCCTGAGCCTGGGATTCCTATCCAATGACAACATATGAAGAGGCTTTTTTTTTTTTTTTAGAAAAGATTCAACTCAATCCCAAAGCCATGATTAAGTGTTGTCTCCATAGGGCAAAAGTTAGGCATGCATTCTTATAAGATGTGTCGTGCATTTTTGCTATCTTTATCCTCCTAGCAAATGTGATGCCTCTTAGATAATTTAACTCAGCTGTATTAATATTGAAAGAAGCTGTTGCCTATGCAAATTACGGCCCTCACTTGCTCTTCTCTTACTTTTTCTTGCCTTCAGGCAATGTGAGCATCTTCTTTGGAAGATCACCTGCTCTTTGCAACTTCAGCTCAACCAGTGCCAATCACAAGTTCCAGTAATCACATGGCTGCTTGGGACCTTGTAACCTGCTGTTCAGCTCTGTGTATTCTTACTCCAAATAAGAAAACACTTGAACTACCCAAAGAAGAGGATGTTGTATTTTATATTATTGTGTGTGTTTTTCCCTTCTTCCCTCTCTATGCAACTGTTATTTTAACAAACTGTGGAGTATTTGGAAATGGTTATGCATATGTACTTTGATTTATATAATTATGCAGCATCAGGAAAGGGGATGGTAGGGATTTATATCCATTCTTTTTTTGATATTGCTAAAGTGAATTGCCTTTAGAGCTTGGAGCAAAGAGTTACATTTATACTTTCCTTTTGGCTTTTTGCATTTATCTTTTCAAGAACCTTTTCTTCTGAGACACACTGCTTTTTCTGCACAGGTTATTTATACTTAGCCTAAGAGTCCAAAAACATAGGAAAAAGATCAGCTTCTCATAAACTGCACAGTTAGTATTGACAAATACCATTTTAGACACACAGGGCTCTATTTTGCCCCCACTAACTTCATTCAGCTACAGTAACTGTTGACACTCAAGTAGCATTTTAATGGATTTACTTCCCCCACAGAATGTGGAATGATTTTTATTCCAGATTTTATTGTTTTTAATTTTTTTTGTTAGGCTGAATTTTACCTTAATACAATTATTCTGAATATGTGCAGTTTTTATTTTCTGTGGCGAAGACATGACCATCGTATTGTGCCAAATTTTATGTCCATCACTCCATTCAAAGTATGAAATCTAGTCCTGAAGTAATTGTAATTTGGAAGCCTACCTAAATGAAGGAGCTCAGACTACTTCAGTACTTAATTGCTCTGCCTTTGTGCCAGAAAGATTGGCTGGATGGATACCTTTAATCAATAGCATTGTACATTTTTAAAATGATTCCCTTATAGTCAGCATTTCAAGGGAGAGCCAGGGAGAGCCAGCTGAGGAGAAAAATTCAATCACTGTTTATGTTGAGTAGCTAGGCTTGGTTCCTTCCCCACTGGCTGTGTGGCTTTGCATGGCCCTTTGCTCTCATTATAAAGCACTCACTCATTCTTTCCATACGTTGCATGTGTGCAATAATCATATTTAAAGGACCAAAATAGTGTTGGAGAAATTCCACTGCTGAATATTATTAACAGGCCTGTCCATTATTTTATGTTATCATTTACAAGGTGAGTCCTAGTAGAATTTGATGTGCTATCCCAAATGACATTGCAGTAGAAGAAGCATTAATCTTGGGGTGGATGTGGAGAATGGTGTCTTGTAAACCACTCAAGTTTTCTCATAGCTCATCTCCAGTACGGAGGTGATACTAGTTGTAACTATGCTTAGAGGTATTATGAGGGTCAAATTAGATAATATATGCTATATAATCAAATGATTCAAAGTGCTATCTAAAAGTATTATTTTTTCAGCAGCGGGGGGGCGGGGGTTGCTCAGAGTAGGAAACAGAAACAGATTGCAGGTTACTATGTGGATTTTTCATCTAGAAAGAAATATATTTTGGTATAGATATTTTGAGAAGGAAAAGAAGTTTTGCAGAAAAGAAGAGCCATGACCACCTTTCTACCTCAAACCAATTTTCTTTTTCTTTCTTTTTTAGTATTTAGCTTGGGAAGCAGTTCAGAGATCTGATATTTTTGAGTATTTTCATTTACCAGATAGTATCAAGCCAAAGGGGGTTAAAAAAAACAAAACCACACATCCCCCCCCCCAAGCCTCCTTTAAACATACTTTAGCAGAAAAACAAATCCCAGCAATGGATAGGATGGAACTTTTGTTTTTAATGGAAAGGATATGTATAAATTGTTTTTCAGCCTGTGTTTGTATGCATATTCTGTCCTTTTACTGTCAAGTAAAAACAACTTAACAATATTACATTGTAATACTCTTCCTCTGATAACACTGATAAATAAAAGGAACATGTTGTGGTAACATCTCAGAAAAAGAAAAGTTTCCATGTTTGTGGTTTTAAATTATGGCATTTCCCATTTCTAATCTAATTATATGGTAAGATTTTCACTCTCTGAATAAAATTAATTTTTAGTGAAGACTGTTTGATATTCTTCATAGGAGTAAATACATTTCAAAAGCTCATTCCCTTTGTAAGAATGCTTCCCATTTCAAAGTACCTTTAAAATAAGTAACAAAAATATATAGCATCATACATCAATGCATATTTTTATACCATTTACATTTTCAGGGATCAATATACATCTTCACCAGTAAGAGGGCCTGACATCAATCTGTGAATCTAGTTAAAGGTTTACTATTCATATTGAAAATGCATTAGAGTGTATTGCTTTATTCAGGGGCAGAGCTTAAAATTCCTCTTCCTGGCTGTCAGCATTGTACTCAACTGTTCTGGATACTGGCAAATATAATTTATACCCCAGGTTGACATAACTTTAAACAGCCTAAAGGCTAAGCCTAAATAGATATTTAAAAGTGGCACTGCTTGAAAAAATCTTCCATCGATGAAGTAAGTATCTGATATAGCACATTCCAAGGCAAGGTTGGTAATATATGGCTCTCTCCTAATCCTGTAACTCCTAGTCAGAGACGGAGGATGAAAGATACAGTTCAACAATACACAGACGGTAATACTTTCCTTAACCCTGCTGTGAGGCAAAAACTGGGAGATAACCAATAAAAGATACTGTTGGATGAAGACAGTTCTCCCTGTTAATCGGGAAGAATTCCAAAATCTATCCAAGGTGTTTGAATCATCATTCATATTGATCTGCTCCTGAATCATGAACTATCTGGTAGAGGAGATTTTTGGGAAAACCAAAAAGGTAGTGTATGGCATGCCTTAGTTACAGTATCAGCTGCCACTTTATTAATTAGGCATGGGGGGAAGGGGCAGAAATTTGCCAAAGAATGCAAAAGATATCAAAACTGGCTTTGAAGAATGCATGCCTGATGACCTGGATGACAAATAGATGTTTAATATCTTTCAAGAATTGATGACATCACATCTCTCCTGTCCATAATGTTGGTTTTAAATGAGTCAATGAATTAGTGTGAATGTTTATTTCTGTACATAAAACATCCTCTACCTACAGATACAGGAAATTTGTTAGCCATGATGGAAAAGGAAGAGACTAACTAGAGTAATGTGGGATTAGTATTTAATCATTTATTTGCCAGTTTTTATATCATAAATAGGGATGTGGGGGCTCAGTGGCTAAGATGCTGAGCTTGTCAATCAGAAAGATCAATAGTTTGGCGGTTCAAATCCCTAGCACAACGGAATGAGCTCCCATTACTTCTCCCAGCTTCTGCCAACCTAGCAGTTCGAAAGCACTTAAAAATGCATGTTGAAAAATAGGAGCCACCTTTGGTGGGAAGGTAACTGTGTTTCATGTGCCTTTAGCGTTTAATCATGCCAGCCACATGACCATGGAAATGTCTTTGGACAGCGCTGGCTCTTTGGCTTTGAAATGGGAGATGAGCACCACCCCCTAGCACATATGTGCAAGGGGAATCTTTATCTTTATCATAAATTATCACAAAAGAGCATCAAAACTAGAATGCATATAAAAACCATCATAATAAAATTATTAAACACTGCTCATAAAAAGTTATTGGTGCACAACCCCTAGCATTATTTCTCATTGTGAGAGAAATTCTTTTCTGTGCTTCAAAATGTACTGGCCACAAAACTGGAATTTATACATTTATAATATAAAATGTTATACATGATTTGCCCTTTTACTGAACTTAGAATATTTGTTGAGCATATAATGTGAGTCACTGCAGGTATAAGTCTAACCTTGTATTATAAAAAGAGCTGATTTGTTTGGCTGGGTAAAAAAAAACAAAAAAACCCATGACTGATTTTGAAATGTTTGGAAATAAGCACTATGGACTGCTTATCTTTTCCCCCTTTTAAGGATTTTTTAGCATTATCTTCTTTAAATATACAAATCTCGAGAATCTTCTAGTTATTTTTGGAATACCATATATACTCATAAATAAGGCAAGAATTTTCAGTGCCCAAATGCACCCCCAAGATTGAGCTTGTCTTATCCACATCTTATCTGCAGGTATATAAGATAATACTTTTTATATTATTTACATTCTCATATATATACCATGAAAATACCATGAAAAATGGATAACCCATGAATTATACAGAGAAAAGCCTATAGAAGAGAATATTTGTAGCCCAAAGTTACACTGGGGTCATTTGTGCGCTCTCAGCTTGCAGATGTTTCATTACTAAACTAGGTAAGATCAGTGCTAGTAGGGTATGGGGTGTGCTCTAACTTTATATCTGTTGGCTTGGACTGGTGGTCTGGCTGGGAATGGTTTTGGTGGTTCTTTGGTTGGGCTTTGTTAACAGTTCCTTGATTTGTATTGTTTGCTTCTTGATTGTTAGTCTAATGTTAATCTTGGTGTTTGCTCTTCTGGGTGTTGATTGCTGGTTTTGTAGATTGTAGATTGTAGATTGTAGAAGTTTATTTATATGCCGCCCTTTTCCCTGGGGGGACTCAGGGCGGCTTACAACCAAAAGGGGGGGGGAGACAAACTTTTAACATATAAGACGATACATAATTAAAACACAACATTCATACCATTCGGGCGGGTTACAGTCTTAGCCCCAGGGCTGTGCGGAAGGTCTGGAGGGTGGTGAGGGTACGAATCTCCACGGGGAGATCGTTCCTTCCAAAGGAAGGAAGTGACCTGAAAATGGCCCAGAAAATGGCCTGAAAACAGCAAAAAACCCAGCAAAAAACCAGGCATGCGCATGCTGGCCAGTTGGTCTTCATGAGTGCCA